TTTTTTTGAACAAAATTTCGTATTTTGGGCGTTTGAACTTTTTTGGTTTTGAAGCAAAATGAGTAGAAATCTGACATTTTGCAGAAGAAAATTTACGGCAAATAGGCACGAACAGAGGAGGCGATCGACAAGAAAAGCTTCCACAGATCACAGAGTGCTCCAGAAAGGCGTTGGCTATGGATACGGTTCAACACGCAGCCGCTGGGACATAGAACGAACGGTCGCAAAAAAATCTCGAAAATTTACCTTTTTTTAATAAATAAAGCAAATGGTCCACCCTTAGACAAACTGCGCATCAAACTCATAAATGCGTTGTAGGCTACTTCGGATTCAGTTTAGGTGTATTCTTGTAAATTTTGCGTCTTTTTGGTTGGATTTTTGTTCTCTTTAACTTGTTTTATCTCATTTGTATTTTTTCTAATTTGGAAAATTTTTTTGCATTTCATGAAAAAAAAAATTAGAAAAGGCTTCCTTCTTCTTCCTTGTTATGCCTGTTGCAGGTAGCATCCAAATTTTTCCGAAAAAATATATCCAGTTTGAGCATCTTTTATTCTTTCTGAAGTTTAGTGAAAGAAAAGCGTTCATCTTCTTTCTTCTCATTATGTCCTTTTGCAGAAAAACAGTTAATTTTCCCGGAAAGCTTAGGCCTTCTTTCTGGCAGTAAGGCATCAAGTTTTTCAATTTTCTTGGCCTTTTATTTCGAAAAGTGTTTTCACAGAGAACATTTTTAGTAGTTTTTTGGAAATTTGCTCCCAAGAACGGTTTTTTGCAGAGTAGTTTTATATTAGGTGCATAATTACGGTAATTTCAGGTGGAGGAGCGCTTAGCCCGTGAGGAGCATTTGATATGGTTGTTGAACGCAGTAACAGCATACGTTTATTGTGCATCGCCTGATTTCTCTACTGATGAACATCTTCACTTTATGAGCCGTAATCCAGTGCATGTGGGACCAGCGGTTGTCCGGGAACTTGGCGAATCAGCTATCATCCCGCTGATGGAGTACCATCTCAACAACGACAGCGTGTTTGATGTTAGCGAACATATGGAATTGTATCAGGTTTCCATTTCACTTTTTTGATAGTCTGTTCAAAATTTCCCTATTTAAATCTGCTCTTCATCCGTCTGTTTATAAATGCAACTCCAAGGAGAAAGTTA